CTGCACAAACCGAACCTATCAGCCGAAGGTTTGCATTGTGTGAACTTGAGCTCTCTGCTGCCATTTTATGGTTCGGTGGTTAATTAGAGCTCCGTTTGCCCATTAAGGAAATTGAAGCTTAATAGTTCTTGCCCAGATGGGGTACTGTAAAAAGGCTCAGTACCAAAGCAGAGCGCTGGTTCAAGTATGGTTCTCGATGATGATGATAATAAAACTGAAAGAGGAAACAGGAGCTGAAGGATGATCATCCAATTTCATAAAAAGCAGAAATGGTGCTTAAGGATTAATGGAAACGGGGTAGTGGGTGAATGGAAGACATAATGGAGGTTAATGGGTGAGAAATGGATGAAAAAAAATGAAGCAAGAGGTGATGATGTTCATGAAATAACAGCCAGGCCAGTATCCATTAACAGTTCAGTTTTAGGATGATTAGCTAATCCATCTCATTACTGCCATCAGGGAGTGGGAGGATGGACTCTGTTAGAAAAAAACTGACATTTCACTCGTCCCGATTCTGTTAAGTGAYGACAGTTTGAACTGGAGATGATTATTWTGTGGGGCAGGGTGGTCAGTGCACATGCTGCAGTGCAGACAGAACAGGACCATAACCCAGATGTTCAAATTAGACTCAAGTTAGGCATGAGCACAAACTGTAATCTGTAATTACCAACATTTTATTAGACTAAATGTGGCTTTGGTAATTGAATCTTTTAGTCAAGGCTGAGTTAGGATCTGTCACCTAAATGGTCATGGAACAGTGGTTCCAAACTGTTAGAAGATATCAGCCTTTAATGACAAAGAAACCCTCAAATGCACTCACAAACAAATAAACCATTGTTGCCCTTCTGTGGCAAAACAACAGGGATGGTCAACTTCAATGAAAGGGGCCACAATTATTTTTGTTCACACTACCATAGCATAGCACTGCACATTTACCCAAATACAATAAAACCACTGTTTTCAGTTTAATAAATCAACGTACAGTGCAGAACATAACATATTTCATGCTCAAATGCAAGTTGTACTCTAAGTATGAATACAAATCATTTTGAAGCAAACAAAGAAACAAAAATAAAACAGCGTAACACACCTTGCAGACTCCTGCGTGGCYGTAGTTCTGGTWAAAAGTTGCTATTRTTTGTGTACTTGMAACTTCAGTAAACTTTTCATATTCAGCTTTGTGCAGTGTGTTGTAGCAGCAACTTATATTAAAATCATTCCTGGCAGAAAGCTTCTCTAAGCAGCCAAAACACAAAGGTTTGCCTTAAAACTATGTGAACAGATAGAAAATATAGAAAAAAAACTTGGGGGGCCAGATGGGAGTTACCCGTTGGCCACATATGGCCCGTGGGTCATAATTGCCCATTTCTGAACTAGGAGATGCAGTTGTGCAGCTTTAATTTTTTTTTGCCAAACTGCAAAGCATAAACGTACGGAGCCCGCGAGGGAACATGGGAGATTTTTTTCTTTTGCGTTCCCACGCAATAGTATTACGTTACCTCGCAATACCTTTTGCTTTCCCTCGCAAAAGTCATTTATCACCGTTGTGCCTGCCGTTTTTTAACAAATTCACCTGCTCACCATTAGCGGGTTAGCCTACTACTTCAATTCAGCTTCAGAATGAATGTGTTACAAAGCCACGCAACATCAACGTCAATCTCACAAACTTGTGGCAACACATCCTGTTTTGGTAACCGGATATTTCAAAAATAAAAGTCTGATTTAATTCAGTTCATATACAAAAAAAACTTTTGCGTGGGAACGCWAAACAATATTGCGAGGGAATGCAAACGTTTGCGAGGTAACGCAAAATGTTTTGTGAGGTAACGCAAAAGTATTACGAGGTAACGCAAAAATATTGCGATGTAACGCTAAAGTAATGCAAGGTAACGCAATAGTATTGTGTGGGAACATAAAAGAAAATACACCCCCCCTTCCCGTCCCCTCGCGGGCGTCGTATGAATGCTTTTTTTTAGTTGAATAGCTCTGTTTTAAACATCTAAAATGTGCATTTTTTATTGTTTTTACTGTAAAATAATTATTTTGGATTTTTGCATTTAAAAAGGTAATTTGCTTTATTCAATTTTTAAAGAGAAAGTAATCAATTAAAGGTGGTCAGACTTGTGTGGCAGGTATTTCTTTTATATTCTAAGGAATAAATGAAGCGAAATGTAAAAAAAAAAGGCCCATTGTGTGTTTGTGGGTAGCCACAGAGAAGCAGTAAATCGTTGGTTGTGAGCTCACAGCCTGGGAGGCAGTGGAGTGCCTCATTTACATACTGAAAGGACTCGAACCCAAACACTGAAAGGCAGATAATTTACTTTCCACTTACAGCAGCAGACAGWTGAATAAAGACCTCACTCCATAACAAAAAAATATAAATAATTAAAAACAGATCTCCTGTCCTGTCTTTCTAAAATGGGACGAAAATCCCTCCGATTTTGCCTCCCGCACCCAGGAGAGAAGAAAAGAAATGGAGGGGGGAGAGGGGGTGGACTGAAAGGACCCCAAAGGACCAAAAAAAAAAACGTCCTGTACTTAACGGATTGTGAATGAACGCCCTGCAGCCTGCCTGCCCCACATACGGTGATTGAATACAAAAGACCCCCCCCCTTCTGTAAGAGCAATCACTACAGGAGGCCTCTCTATCTGCACCGCCGCAGCCACCGTCCACAATGGAGCCGTCAGCACAGGGCTGCGTTGCCACACATGCACACAGTCGCAAAAAAACAAGAAAAAAAGACGAATGCATGTAACCATTTATTCCTTTGGTCTTTACAGCACGCACAGACCCTCCTGTTCCACAGTCCCCTCCACTAATGAGTCCTTTTCATCCTCTTGTGGCGGGCAGGAGCAAGAAGAGTGTTCTGATTTGAATGTTTTAATTATTTATTGTCGGACTCGAACTCGCGCACGGGGAGCTGGATAAGAGCAGATCGAGCTGTGTTTGGCTTTAATGCATCCTAAATGAATACCTTAAGGAACAAGACGACGTAAAACATGACAGGTGCAGTTTTGGCTGTAAATATCCCCCRGTTTTTACACTTTCCGAGGCATTAAATTCCAAGAAGAACAAATAAAACTTTCACTGCTGATTATTGCTCTCGCTTCCTGCCTCTCTCGAGTCGTTTTCCACACTGCATTTTGAAGGAAAAAAAACATAAATAATGGCTCACGGTGGAAGTACAGTACAGTTTGTAAACTGAATGATGTAATGTGTGGGTCMTGGGACGTAGCAACGAACGGTTCCGCAGCCTGAGAAACACGGCTTTGCTTTTCCTCCAGCAGAACAATCCTGGGAAATGGCGAGATGGCAGAGCGGCAGCCACTTAGGGAATAAACATTTCTGTAATTCAAATGAGCAGTTATGGTTTTTGACACAGCTTCACTTTCACCTATTTCTTATCCCCCCCAAACGTTTTTATCTCATTTCACAGGATGGTAGCTCAGTCTTGCCTGRCTTTCATTCTTTTTGCACTCAGCTCTGATTTACAGTCTTCAGACAAAGGAAGTCCCAGACTGGCCCCTTTTCTTTTTTGTCCCCGGTGTGGCATGAATGAACAAAGAAACACTGCAAACCTTAATCAAACTCTGAGAGAGATTGAACGGTCAGTGAGGATTCAATCTTGCAAACATAATAATGATGCATTTGGTGCTAGACAAAAGTTTCATGCAAATACATGGTATTTGATTAAAAAAAGCTGCATCCATTGTGTTCACGGAGTGGCACTGCTCTTTGTCTCAGCTGCTTTTATGTATTTGTCCATGCACACGRGTAGTTTTTGCAGCGCTTTCGCTTTCAGATAAAAGATACTTTGTATTCATTTTGCTTTACATTCACTATAAGCAGAAAACCTGAGATTTGGGAGCTCAGGGGGACCTTGCCCTTCACTTAGGCTGAAGTTGCTGAGGTACAGTTAAATGACTCAGCAGCCACAGGGTCCCCAGGGGTGGAAGAGACTCTCCTAAAGTTCCCCATCAAGCAGAGGCATCCAGCAGAGGCTGAAACAACCGGGATGAAAAAGAAATCCTTTGTTCTTCTGTCTTTAAATATTTCTTCCGAAATCAAATTTAAAAATCTATATTCTGTGTAGAATTCTCCCAAAAGAGCTCCTGGGCATCCCATTCATCACTCTTAATCCCCCCCTGGTGAGTGTCATTTGTTGTAGTCTTGGAGTGTACACAAATGTTCACTAATGATCCGTTAATTATGCAAATGTCCCCTAAGCCCTGGGGTGTGAAACCACCTGTCTGTGTGTGTGTGTGTGTGCAGGTATCACGGACATGTGGACGTACATGCTAATTGCAAGTTGTTGCCACTGGTTTATGATGAATAATATATATTGTTAATCAAACTAAATAATTTGCATTTTCTGTAAAAAAAATGCAGTGTGAATGCTTAATGCTGTAAGATTTTTGCACGAGAAAAAAATGTGCAAGATTTTAGCAATTTGTCGTAAAATAGTGAAAAAAGTTGAAATTAGCAAAAAAAAGGTAGCTACCAAAAGCTGGATCTAGCACAAAGAAGCAGAAAGAGCACATATTTGCTAAATTAAGCATTAAGAAGCTGAAATGATCACAAAAAGGTGAATTTAGCTAAAAAAGTTCAAATTGGCTGAAAATAGCTTAAAAGTAGCTTAAATTGCAGAACACAGCTGAAAGAAGCATTAAATGCTTAATTTTGCAGAMWGAAACTGATAAAATCACAAAAACATTTAAAGTAGCAGAATAGCTGAAAAGAGCAGAAAAATAGCTGAAAAATAAAATTAGCAACAAAGAAGCTAAAAAAGAAAAACGAGAGCAAATAGTCCAAAGTGTAGAAAAGGTTTAACTCTTTTGAAGGATGTTCAAGAGAGCTAAATTCAGCTAGCTAGGTGGGAAATCTGCCTCATACAGTGCATAGACATTATCTTTGTAATTGTCCAATAATTATACTGAATAATGTGGAAAAAAGAATGTGTTTGAGTTTTAAATTATCTTTTTTTTTCTTAATCTTTCAGTCGAGCCATCAAGACAAACCAGGATCTCCTCCCAGACACTCCATGGACCAACATCCTGTACGATGACTTCTGGGGCACCCTGCTCACCCACAGCGGCAGCCACAAATCTTTCCGTCCCCTCTGCACCCTCTCCTTCCGTCTCAACTACGCCGTTCACGGCCTCCACCCCTGGGGCTACCACCTGCTGAACATCGTGCTGCACGGCCTGGTCACAGCCCTCGTCACAACCCTCGGTCGCTCGCTGCTCGGCGGGGGGCCGTGGAGCCTTTTCGCCGGCCTGCTTTTCGCCTCCCACCCCGTGCACACGGAAGCAGTGGCCGGCGTGGTCGGCAGGGCGGACGTCGGCGCGGCCTTGCTTTTCCTGCTCTCGCTCCTCTGCTACGCGAGACACTGCCAGCTTCGAAACGAGCCGCACGGAGCCGTTTGGAGCCGGCGATGCGGAGGCGGCGGCTCGGCTGCCAGATGCTGGGGCTGGATGCTGGGCAGCCTGTGGTGCGCAGCTGCCAGCATGTTGTGGAAGGAGCAGGGGGTGACCGTCCTGGCTGTGTCGGCTGTGTATGACCTCTTTGTGTTCCAGAGACTTCGCCTGCACCAGGCACTGCTGCTCTTAGGGAAGGTAAATGAAAACWCTGCTCATAAATTGTGGGTTTGCTTTCATTAGAAGTMATTAGTRAAGCTTTTTGGTGGATGAAAAATAAGCCCTTCTTGTTCAAGTCGGCTGAACAGGRAGAAAACATGTGGATGGGAAGTCTGCACTTCCTTATGGTGCTGCCACCAACTTCCATTTGCTGCAGTAAACAGATGCAAATTCAGGCAAGGAAATCTAAATTARGATCTAAACCTCAATTTGTGCGTGTGTGTGCTGTTATTGGAGCAGCTTGAGCAAGAAAGCCTATTTTTGGCTTGATTTTCTTCTCATTTTAAGATGACAAAAATGTGTAGACAAACGCGCGTGCTTCTGAGCTAAATTATTTGGTTCATTTGTCAGGTAAGYTGTCTAAAAATACACAAACGCACCATGTGGCTCCGCTGCAGGGTTTCAGTTCCCCTTCCAAATCCAATCCATTCCGAGGACAACCTTGTCGCAGTGACTCATCTGCTTACAGGAGTTTGACTGGAAAGCCTCATCACATGGGGCGGCTCCTCATTTGATCAGAGAAGCGTCTCCACAGCCAACACGATGGCCCTCATAAAATGCTCGAGTAGTGTGAATAAAAAGTCCCCTTGGGTTTACYGAGCAAGGACAGTCTGGCTCGGAGCGTGCAGGAGTATCTGTTTATAGTGTTTCCTTTTGCTGGAAACGTCTATAAATACTTCTACTTGCTGCGTAACCCTTTGCAGTCGGTCACAAACATCCTGAAAAGCTTCTGCGTGAGACTTTACTGCACCTGCGAGGCAGCCACTCCAGAGTTTGTTTGGCAGAACGATAACACAGGAGCAAAGTGTTTGCGCTGAATGATCCGGCGAGATCAGAAATGAAAGACAGAAGGAGATGGAGGAGTTTTTTCTTCTTTTTTTTTTCTTTGCTCCTGTGTGCTTGGCAGGCTTTGCTGTAGCAGATATCACACCTGTCTTTCAGATCGCCCTGAGTCAAAGTTTAATAGCTGCTGCCAAACTACTTATGAGCTGCACAGCAAAGGAAAAACACTAAAACAATATTCTAAACCTCTTAGAGAAACCTCAGTTTTTAAAATTTATTTACCGTTAAAGGATCAGTACATAGGATTTAGTGACATTAAGTGGTCAGATTTGGAACTTTAATGCAATTAGCAATTTAACATTATGTGAGGCCTCCTATAGATTGATATTCACTGTATTTATTCACGTGTAATGTGAGAAATTTAACCCCAAAAATCCTTCATAAAGTTGGGGGAGTAGTATTATACAGTAAAAAAAGTAAAAGTAAATTTTGACTGACTTTTGTCACAATAAGTTTCAATTTTTCCTCGTATATAACTGAAATATTTCCCCTCCCTCCTGTTGTAAGTCACGCATATACAGTATAGCGTATTGGTATATTAGTAGTTGTTTACTCACTGGAGTCAGAAGAGGAAAACCTTGTTTGATTTTTCTTGTTAACCATCGAAATGTAAAAAAAAAAGGACTTGGACTTTAGTTGCATGTTCTGATAAATCTATCTTAATAATTTACTAGTGATGGGTCCAGCAACACAGATGCGTCGGCGTAAGYGTCAAACTCATAGAGCAAAACCCCTTGTCGGTGCGCGTATCGCTAAAGAAAGTGGCATGACCGATACAGGAACTGTTTCGAACTGGGTGACGTGCCAAAAGGCTGGATCATTGCGCTYTGGGTACACGCACAGGGTACGTGCGCACCATCGCCAGCGTTGGAGGTGTTTATAATTACTTGGTGCTTACGTAGTTGTAGTATTCTCAAAAAGGTCACGTGGCAGAACACTTTATAACTTGTGAAATGTTGTAAATAGGAGAGCAAAAGCTTGACAAACAAACTGTTTGAATGGCCAATGGGAAGTGTCTGCCAAATTTTTTGTCGTCAAATTCATCAAGAATTATGGAGCTGCCTCATCTGTGCCGTGTGAGCAGGTGTTTTAAACAGCTGGAGAAGTTCTATCAAAAAAGCATAACAGACTCAATTTCAAAACTTTTGAAAAACTTTTTTTTTTTCAAATAAAAATTTGTAAAATAAAAAAATCCCAGTCCACAAGTATTCTTATTTACAACACACTCACTTAGATTTTCACGTTATGATTGCATGCTTCATATTAGTGATGCATCGATATGAAAATTTCAGCCGATATCGATATCCGATATAATTATTGCTGTTATGGCCGATGACCAATATTTACCGATATTACAAATTACAAATTATATTATACATATACGCACAAAACACACTTGTCTTTTGTTGATACCGTAAATAAACGACCAGACCTCTGACATGGCTCCCAGCTTCAGTTATTCCTGGCTATGCAGCGTYAGTATCACTATTATGATCAAGCAGATGCTGCTCAACCAGCCATCTCCCCTCCCAAAACAGAAATTCAAAGCTAAAAAGTGGGAAATCAATATCGGATGTTAACATGGGCCCAGTTTTACCTATCGGACTGATACCAATATTCTAAAAAAAAAAAGAACAATATTGGCCGATACCGATATTAATGCTAATTTGTGGATCCCTACTTCATATTATTTATTGACTGTATCTAAAATATATATTTTAAATTTAAATGAAGATATCAAATAATACAATGACTTAAATTATATTATCGTATATATTAGGTMATCAAATCAGTGTCAGTTGAGCCTGTCAACCAGGTTGGCTGTAGGAATTTTTAAGGTTAATTCGCCGACAATGCTTCTATGAAAAAGGTTGCCCTTATTGTCCCAGAGGTTTCACAACAAAATTAAAGTTTTAGCTTTTTTTGACACAAGGCCGCCCACTTCCGCTGGCAGAAGCAACCTGTCAAAATAAAAGCTGTATCACCAACCGTTTAGTGCAATAACTTATGGTTTAGTGGTATAGTCCCTAGATAACACATTGATTTAATTTGTCTCCTACGTTGCAGGAACTACAGTGTGACTATCGCACATGCGTATATTATGATGACGATGCTTAAACGATAAATCGTGCAGCTCTAAAAGCCTTCATTTTTCTCCCCAGACAGAAACACCGGTCAGTACATATTTGCCAACCCATCATGTCTCGATGCCAACCCTCTCCTGTTCCTCCACTGTGGGCACATCTGGCTCATTTATCAATTTGGCGGTGCCCTCCTCTACTAGTCCCAGTCCTGGTTATCTTGGCAGGGAGCTTGTTACATGCTGAGGCCAACCATGGGGGCAGTCGTTTCCTTGATTTGAAGCCAGATGTCTGTGGATGTGTGGGAAAACAAAAGGGACAGGGGTATTGAAACAGAGACTGAACCAGGGAGAGGAAAACTATGCTCTCACTTCCTTTCCTTTATCTATTTTAAGTCTGTTTCACCCTTGATTGCCTTAGAGCGTGTTGAGAACGGGAGGCTTGGACACACCTGTATCCTACCACCAAGACACAATCAGCTTGATGAAGTTGGTTTATAGGTGGAGAAACAGCAAAGATTTGTTGTCAGTTCAACATAAAAAAAACCATTCTAATCAATTTGCCTTTTTATTAGTTCTTTCTAAAATAAACAAGCACTTTACTAACACACAAAATGCAAATGTGTGTGCAGCTGATGGGGACAGATGTTCTCCCTCCACCACTGCCTTCATTTCTCATTCTATTAACTCCCTAATCAGATCGAGGTGAGATTTCAAATAAGACAAGAGAAAATGGAGAGGGCGTTAGAAAGTGATGGATGGAGATGAAGGCAGGGTGTGGTTTTAGCGCTGCAGTCTGTTGAAAAAWACAAAAACAAAATGAGTCTCATTTGCTAAGATAATAAGCTCCTAATGTGCTTGTTCATCAACACGTTTGGGTGTATCAGTAGTGGAAAAAAAGCAAACATGTTGATGGATGAGGCACCAGGAATTAGACAGCACCCAGAAAATCTGTTTAGGCATTTTAAATTTTGTATTTATTTGGAAATGTTTTTTTATTTCAGTGAGATGACAGAATGTTTTAGCCGAGGCACGTTGACAGAGGAGGGATTTGACGTTGTCCTCGACAGGTTGCACTTTAAATATGGAGGACTCCTCCTCTTCATTCGTCTCAATAATCTCTGCAGACACAAAGATTAAGTTCCGTTTAAGCAGCTGACGGCTTGATGAATGTTGGGCCAATTATCCTGCAGCAGAAACATTCGGCTGTGAAACGATGTTCTCCGCAAGTTCTGCTGCATGCTTTTTATTTAGCTGGTGGTCCTGCAAGATGACGGCATGTTGTGCGTTCTACTTTAGCAGTTAGCTGCACAAACTCGTTCAAATCTTGTTACAGCCCGTGCACTATCCGGTGGTTCTGAAAAATAAACTTGAAATAGAATTTTTTAAAACATCAAGTTAATACAGATGGATTCGTGGATTTTTATTTTATTATTATTGTTTTTTTGTTTTGTTTTTTTGATCAGCTATTTGCAGTGATGGCGTGCAGAAAGTTCAACCTATGACCCATCTCATTAATGGTCCCTGCCAGCAGCAACACGGCTTTAATGAAGAGAACTACAGCGTAATTGGGTTACTCTATCAGCTCCATCCTTTTTAACTGCCAGCCATGTCTGATGACTTGGAAGACTTGTGCCAAGTCAGCACGATCCAAAACGCATTAGTGCTCTGAAAAGAAAAAAGAGAACTGGACACATGCCTTATTCTGCCTTTCGTCGCAATTCCTCATGTCACTGGAGCTGCCACAAATGCTGAATGTGGACTGTAAAAACCCACCAAAARCCCAATAAATGGATTTTATATATGCAGCTCTGCGACACAATTTAACAGAAAGTTATCTAATTCCAGACCCAAAGTCGAGCTTTTGATTAAAGCTTCCCAAATGATTAATTTTAAACTGATTTTTGAGCCACTTTTATTAGGTGTGACTTCAACAAGAAAAGTTCAGAACCCGCTGTGTTGCTTCTGTCCTCTGCTGTTCGAAACACTTCGTGTTTGAAGTCAGCTGTTTTCTCTGACATGTTATAAATGTCCTCCATGCTGCAGTGTCGGACAGACCCCAGATCTCTGGGATTAATAAACTTGAGAGGTAGTAGCGACAAGCACCCTCTGAGAAATGTGTGTTTACAAGCCCAACACTGCATACTTATTTACAAAGGGTAAAAGAAATGGAGACAAGAAGATGGTTAACTCAGGACAGATCTGGATTTTTTTTTTTTTCATTTTTTAAGAGTAAGCCACCAAAACATACTGAACTAGTAAAGGAGCATTCAGTGTGAGGGGGATTTTAATGAAATAGCTTGGAGCAGCTTTATAAGATCAAACGTTTTAATGAATACAATATGTAGCCAGCTCCCAAGAATTTCAATAAGACTGAAACTAATTAAAATCAAGGCTTGTTTTTGATATTTAAACACTTTCAACCAATGTGTTATTATTATTAATTTTTTTTAAATCCGATTAGAAATAAGAGGAATTCATTAGACAGAGGAAGCTGTAAATACACTGATGATATGTTCACTGGCAAAAAAAATATGTGTGTGTGTGTATATATATATATATATATATATATATTTGGTTCAGTTGTTCATTAAAAGGGTGAGAGAAACTGTTCTGTATGAAATTGTTTAACAGCCAAAAACTGGAGGTTTGTTTAATATCTGTACAGAATCAGGTAAAAATGCACCAGATTTCAGCAGTACTGGTTAATCATTTGGATATTTATCTGACTTGTTGCATCTAAAACAACCACATTCCAAGTCTTGCTTAACGTTGACTGTGAAAGTGCAGCTTGTTATTGCTGAGTTTGCAAATTTGAAGCCATAAATCACTGAAAAAGCAGCCCTTCGCTGCAGCTTGAGATGGATGTCATTGATCCCAAAGTCAATTAAGGAACAATTTGGAAATTGACAAGAGTGCGAGGAGCAGAATGAAGCTCATTTACCTAAATACCACAAATGGCTCTCTGGCTGGAATTTGCTTATCTTCCGGTATCAAGCAGAATTGGATTTCTCAGGCAGTTTCCTCTCTTCTCTGACAATATGGGCTCATCCATCAATAAATGTTGGCCTTTTTTTGTACAAGAGGCTTCTTCCCATTTATATACTTTATTTGAGCATCAAAGTCATTAAGCATTGTTCTACATTGTCTCCGTTTTCAAAACTTTAAGCTCCTGGATCTTTTCTATCTTATGGACAAGCAAGTGTGCATTCATTTCCTGCCTATAAAGCTTACCTTTTTAAAGAACAGGCTTTTTTATCTCAGGCCTGTTAATAAGAGGCAATTAAACATGCAGCAGTAGACTGACTGAGTCAATGGTAAATCTCTTACCGTAATCCTTGATATGGATAGCTTTCATTTTCTGGCATTAGCTTACCTAAGCATTTGCACTGTAAACGAGACTGTACTTGGCTCAGCCTAGGCCGTTTCAAATGTGGAAGTTTGTAAATGGGTCATGTAGTTTCAGAGAGTTCCGATGTTTGAGTGTAAAACTAAAAGGTGTTGCGTGACAAAGTACTATGTTATTGTTCCTTGAGCTATAAACAGCATCGACGTACCAATGCACCACATTTCTAAGCTGATTACCGGTCACATTTGCAGGAGTTCTGACAGGCTAATAGGAAAGAGTTTGCAGAAAAGCTGTGCAAGCTTCAAATTGACACCCCCCTCAGTTGCAACCACAGCCAGGTCACAGCTGAGGGGAGTGTGAATTTCTAATCTGTGGAAAATTATTGAAGTGTTTCGATTTCTTTCTCCTCATTGGTTTGGGAATTTGGGATTTTTCCTCGTTATCCTTAAGACAACCTCCCTGACACTGAAGAATTCACTGGCAAACCGAATGTGAACCTCGGTAATAAGCTTTCGCCACACCGAATACACACGCAATCAGTTCGAAGTTGATTATGTCATCTTATAATGACTGATAATGCTGCTTACCGAAAGCATCCATCATTACAGTGTGCAAGTATCCAAGAGTGCCTTTTAGCAGTTTGAGGACTATAATTTCTGATATTAAAACCTAATCTTTGAAAAATTAAAGTAAATTAAAAATAAGTGACTACTTTGTTGAAGTAAGTGGTGATTTTGCATTTTCCCCCCTTTCTCCTTTAGAAAAAAAACATCAATGTTTTGCTGAGTCTCTGCACACTGGCTTCCTGGGGAGTGATTCTGCTGTCAGCTCGTGTCTACTGGATGGGAAATAAGCCTCCCAACTTCTCCAACTCTGACAACCCCGCAGCTGATTCGCCGCATTTTCTCATTCGAACATTAACGTTCTTCTACTTGCCTGCTGCCAATGCTTGGCTCCTGCTTTGCCCAGACAAGCTCAGTTTTGATTGGTCCATGGATGCCGTACCCTTGGTCAGGTCTCTAACCGACTGGAGGAACCTTCACACCATTGCATTTTATGGCAGCATTGTCTGTCTGACTTTGTTTGGCCTTCGAGGTCCCTCATCCTCAGTGGAAAAAGAAACCAATGGGAAACCCCATGTGACAAATGGGAAGTCTATTACTAATGGAAATGGGTATCATGTCCCCGACCCAAACCAAAACACAGATCTGGGGTTGGCAAAAACCACCCTGAATGGATCCGCCATACCCCACCACTGTTCCCCACAAACATCCCTGCCCCCTACAGCAAACCTTGTAGTGTTTTCATTAGGTATCATGGCATTGCCTTTCCTCCCAGCCACCAACCTATTCTTTTATGTGGGTTTTGTAATTGCAGAGAGGGTACTTTACATTCCCAGCATAGGCTTTTGTATACTGGTTGCAGCCGGTGCAAGAACCTTGTATATCAGACTGAGGACTCGAGGCTGCAAGGTCCTAATGTTGGGTCTTTGCAGTGGACTAGTGCTGCTCAATGGCCTCAGAACTGTTCAAAGGAACAAAGACTGGAGCAACGAGGAAAATCTTTACAAGTCTGGGATCAAGGTAAACCCTGCCAAAGGTGAGGTTCAACGTCGTTAGTTTACATCAGGTCTCTGTAATCATGTGAGTTTTGGCCAACAGTAAAGCACTTTTCAATACTTTCTTTAACCAATACAGTTTTGTTTTTCCATTTTGTAACATTTGACTGACACATGTCTCCTGTAGCCTGGGGAAACTTGGGGAATGTACTGAAGAACCATGGCAAGATGGCAGAGGCAGAGAAGGCTTACCGGAATGCTCTGCACTACCGAGGGAACATGGCTGACATGCTTTATAACCTGTGAGTGTTTGAGGCGCTTATTCCACACACACACACACACACACACACGTACACACCTCGTTTGCGCAGTCTTGACACGAATGAAGTCTGATTCCTCTCATCTATCATACAAAACAGCCGCAGCAGCAGACCGAGAAAGGCTGACAGAAAATTTCAGAATGAAGAAAGAACAGAAGGCGGTGGATTGGAATAAGTTACAGAATGCAAACGAAAACAGCTCTAATGCAGCAGGATTTGAAGTGGCGCAAAAGAGCGACGGAAAGAAAAATAACTTTCAGCATCCCCTTGAGGCTCTTTGTACCTTGTGTGACTGATTTGATTAGTCATGTTAGCGGGGTCTATTTCGAATCCTGCAACAGCAGGTGTCAAAGGTGCCAAAAACCCACTAACAGATCTATTTTCTTACCCCTCCCCTACGTCTCCTCTTAAATCATAGATGTAGAGAAACTGGGAAAGCATCAAAAAGAAGGAAAAACCAAATGGAGCTTGTCATTTTTAAAGACAGAGGAGCTATTTGGGCATGATTGATGTTTAGACACACTGGGTTTAAGCATTACAAAATGGAGTAAGGAACATGGCATTCGCAGTGTTTTCACTTCTTAGGTTTCACCCATCATCATTTGGATACCAGCTTGTTTACCCTGTCTCCATAGTCTTATAGAAACAGTTTACAGTGACATAATAATTTTCTTCTCTCCATCAGAGGTTTGCTGCTGCAGGAGAGTGAACGTTTTTCCGAAGCACTGCATTATTACACACTAGCCATTGGGAGTCGGCCTACTCTGGCATGTAAGTGGAGGCTTATTTTGCTAATCATACATAAAAAGATTTATGGGAAGCAGTTTGAGCAAAAGGTAAACTCTTTTATTACTTATTTTGTTTGGGTTAATGTGATGCGAACTAACAGTATTCGCTTGCATTGCCACCACTTTTAATACTAAAGAATGTTCTTTGTATGGTTTGCTGGAGGACCAATTATTCAGGGGATTGATAATCTCACACTTGAGTGCTCGCGTGTGAGATAAGGGTGCATGGTTTACTGCTAAGGATGACTTTGGGGAAGAGGACGAAGTCTGTGTGATAAAATACCTTTAAATCTTTGAGCTTCAGCTGTTTTTTTAAAGCTGAATTTATTTATTTTCCTCCTTTACCTGTCTTTTGACATCTTCCCTCTTTTTTACTGCCTATTTTAAGGCCTTTGTAGATCCACCACATCCTCAAGTCTTTTTTTTGGTTTATTATTAGATATTAGAGTTTGATGTTTGTCTTTACTGTCTAATTAAAATCTGACACAGCGAAAATCATAGATGATCTAGTCTAAACGTTTGTCCAACATTGGTCTTTTGGTTTGTTGGTTTTATTAATTTGTGCCTTTTTTTCTGTGAACTGTGACACACAGCTGCCTACTTGAACACAGGAATCGTCCTAATGAACCAGGGAAACCTGGAAGAGGCCAAACGCACCTTCCTTACATGTGCCGAGATTCCCGATGAAAACCTGAAAGATCCACATGCCCACAAAAGCTCTGTAACCAGCTGCCTGTACAACCTGGGGAAACTGCTTCATGAACAGGGCCAGCAGGAGGTTAGTGTACCTAGTTTAAGGAAAAAAAATGTATTCGTAAAATTAATGTGCTAATACTAGTACCAGAATAAAGTTTCTGTTGTTTTATTACAATCTAATTCTCTTTAATGGTTTAAGACTTGAATTTCAGCCATGTTATACTAAAAAACTATATAGGTTTTTTATGATTTACAATAGTTATCTTCCTCTGCTGCTACAGGAAGCCCTGTCTGTGTATAAAGAAGCACTGCAGAAAATGCCGAGGCAGTTTGCGCCACACAGCCTTTTCAATATGATGGGTGAGTTCACGCTTTAAACTGCTTTAAAAGCAGCAGCTGAAAGGGGGAAGAGCAGAAATTCACCACCTTGGCGACAGCTCCTTTAACACATCAATTAACGGTTTTGCTGATATACAATAAGTACTCGATGGATTTATTGTTTTTACATTAGCAATAACTGTTGAAAAGCAACGATGATGTGTGTAAAACAGTGCAGCCGTGGGAATAGTTTGGCCCAGGCTTTGCTGATGAATTGGACATCTTTGTTACCATTTCAAGCTTTGGCCTCTCCGTTTTTTTTATGAGCTTTAAATTGAGTGAAACAAATGGACTTTACCTTTTTAGCCAAAGGCACGACTTGAGCCACTTGTTGGACTTYGCTGTGGAAGTTAATTATGTTTGGAGACTTTGTGTCCGTTTGAAGGGAATTATGGCTAATCCGTGTCGTCCATCACTTCTCCCTTTTTTGTTATTGTAGCGCCAATTACATTACTGGAAGCTCATCCTGATGACATAGGGGGATGTCAGCATGAATTCCTGAGTGATAGCAAGTAGTGTGTTTTGTCAGGTGGTTGGGARGGGCTAAGGAATGCAGTGTTTGCATTAGTGTGATGATGGTTAAATAATACTTTTTAAAAACTGACGTCATCTGACTATCCTGTTACTGCTGTGGACCAAGCCCATGCCATCTGATCCACCACGACTTAAAGATGGAAAAAAAATGTTATTTTGAAAGTGTTTTCAGCTTAATCCACACTGGACTTCATGTTGGTAACGCATTTGAAGTTTGATTCCTTAGACCAGGGGTTTCTCAAGCCATTTGGGTCTGGGCACCCCTTACAAGGGTGAAAAAAATTCCAGGGACCCCCCTCATAAACCCCATGCTGTTTTAAAAGATAATTTATTGTCATTTCAACCCCTAAATGCCATGGGATTATATATTTTATTAAGTTTATTATGTTTGTTTTATTTCTTCRTTGCTCTACATGCATTTTTAAAAATACAAACCAAATTAACATTTTAGTGAAAATTTTTGAGACCCCCAAGATATGTCTCGTGGACCCCTGGGGGTCCAGGGACCCCAGTTTGAGAACCTCTGCCTTAGACATCCAATATAATAGCTTAAATTCAAATAAACTGAGTATTTTTCACATTTTTATTCATACATTATTGAAGAGTTATTTAAGTACATATTATATAATGTATATATGTATGATTATTTCTTTTTGTATACATTTTAATTAGTGCATTTTAAAAGTAAACTTACTTATTCAGTACACTACTTATTTCACTGTAGTTTTTTTTTATTCTTTATTGAGCTATCTCTCTCTTTGTTGCTGTAACAGTGCAAATTTCCCCACTGAGAGAGAAGTAAAAAGGTCTATTATTCTCTATTCTACTCTGTCATGATCTGTTCCAGCTTTAAACAATGATTTTCAATCATCCAGAACATGGCAAACCCAAGCAAAAAAAGAATGAAAAAAAAAAAACAACTGGACCTAAATTTTGAAGTTGAAGACGTTTCGCTTCCCATCAGGGGAGATTTTTCAATTCAAAGCAGGAGTTGGAGTTCCAAGCTCCAAATTGCATGAAATGCTTGCAGCTATTATTATTTTTTTTGGGGGGGCTGGCCCCAGGCCCCTGGCCCCTGGCCCCACAAATGGGTTTTTTTAGAGCTCAGAGGTGCAGAGGAAAAAGAGTGGAGCAGGTTTGGACCTACTAGCAGCGGTCGGTTCCTCTCAGAGGAGGCTTTGAAAGGAGCTAAAATAGGAAAAACCTTTAACCGGTTGTGTGGAAGAAATGACAACTTGTGCTCAAAGCTGCAGACTTTCCGAATAATAAAGACACTAGAGGCAGTTGGTCTGTTTTCAATGACAGTGTTTAATTGCTTTATTTTGAAGGAGTAGTTTGAGTTTTTCTTTTTCTTTCTATAACTAATGAAGCCTAACCTTGATCCCTGCTGTGTGATTTCTTTCAGGAGAGGCCTACATGAGGCTGAACAGGCTGGAGGAAGCTGAACATTGGTACAGGGAGTCCCTTAAATCCAAACCTGACCATATTCCAGCCCACCTCACCTATGGCAAACTCCTGTCTATCATTGTATGTATCACTAGACACATCCGTGCAAACATTCACCAAAAAAATCCAACTGAGCCATAATAATAGAGTTATTAGTGTTGAAGTTTGAGTGCTACRTGTTGTAGTGGTACTGAAGAGTATTTCTCACAACGTGAGTAAAAGATAGCCAAGACCACACAAATGTACTCAATCTGGCTTGAATAACTTCTTTTTTTTTTTTTAAACAAAATGCTCTTCTTTTCCCCCCACTTCTACAACAAAAACACATGATGACAGATGTGTTCACAGCTGAGTCAAGTCTAGATTGGGGAGTTGAGCCCTGTGCCCTTTGTTACCCTCCTGAAGATGTTTGACCTCTCTCCTTCCTCTGCTTCGGGTGCTTAGGGAAGACACGACCGGCCCGTATGACCATGCACAAACTGCAGCTCTAATCTTTCAGGACATGAAACCGCAGCTCCCCTCTTGGTTGAGAGATTTGAGGATATTAAACAAATAATGCACACACACACGAACACGCAAACCTCTCTTCTCCCTCAGGCTCGGGGCTTCAGATTATTACAATACTCCACCACATAGCCGCCTCCGCTACAGCAGGGTTTTAGAGGCAGTAGATTGGATGGGCTCTGGACAATAGGCCAGTGGACAGGCTTCTAATGGAATTACTCTGCTTCCTTATTGAATCACTTCAATTTTTACTGTCTCGCCTCAGTCAATCAACAACACAGACAAGGGAAGGAAAGGTCAAAGTGAATTCCTGTATTTTGGTTCACCCCAACATGTGCTACCATGCCATGGACTGTTGGCCCCTGAGCAATTTAGTTCAATGTCCCTGCTTTAGACTGTTATAGAGCAAAGTCTACATCTTCTCAWGTTGTTGGGGATTGAAGCCAGAAGAACCCAGTTTTTTGTAGTTTTAGGACCAGTAACTGCGCATTAGGGACAGTGGGGCTTGGTTCTAAACAGGGGTCTCTAGCCAGTAGCTCGTGAGCTACCGGTAGCTCTTTAGCTGGTTTGAAGTAGCTCTTCRGTGCTTATGAAAAATTAGGAGAAGCAAAATTTAATTTGTCACTGGCCAAACAAACTTGTTGACATCTTGTAAATAAAATGTCTCTGCGCCGCTAGATCACTCCTCTATCAAAATAGAATGAGAGTAACTTCACGTGGATTGCTTGCAGCGACTGTAACGTTTTTTTTGTTGTTGTTGTTGTTGTTGTTGTTTTCACGAGTTTAGCTACATAACAAAAAGCTAACATTAGCAACCATTAGTTCACCGTTCTGTCGTCCTGCCCTCGCATCGTAGAGCTAGATGGTCCAGTTCAATCTTCGGTGCTTTTCCTTTGAGTTTGGTGTAGTCCATTATTGTTGTGTCACAAATAAAACAGGATAAGACTTGCGCATGTTTATTATTATGATCCATCCACATCAATGCGGCTTGATGCAAACACAACCAGGGTAGAGCTTCGGCCGACTGGAGCGGGGGCAGACCAAGCCAGGTCTTATAATGCAAAAACATCTTTAGTGTCTAATGCAATAGTAGGGTTTTGCTGCCTTTCTGTGGATAAATGAAACTYGTGTTTAGTTAGCAGTTAGCTAATTTATGGTATTAACCTCAGCTGCATATACAGTAATTCTGCATTAGGATCTGTCACCATTAAAAGCTTTGCAGGGATTGGAACACAGAGGTAAATTAAATGGATACAGGAACCTTTAACCCTGACAAATAAATCACCAACATTGTTTTAACATTAGAACTGAAACCTTTCACAAACCTGCAGAGTGACGACCCGGTTGTAATGAATAGTCAGAYGGGAGTTCTAATCGAATCCAAGGAAAAGGAGTAGAACTAAATATGAAATGAACTATTCAGGCCCTAAAATTCCTTGATTCATTAAGGGCAAACAGAAATGGAAAGAAGCTAATGAGGCAACACTAATACGCTCAGCACCGCTCATTTCTTATTGAATAGCAAGTCCACTGGCAAGGTGGAAGCAATCAGTGCTGCTGCATGAAACAGGAGCTATACAGCCACATGCTCACAGCACAAATATACACACATAAACACACTGAACATTTTTCTTCAAAGGTTAAGCATGGTGAGCTTCTTCATTAGCATAAATTTCTCACTAATAATTTATCGAGCCAATRTTTGACATTTTGTAGCACAAGACCTCCAGTGTTTACACATTTTGAACAAATCAGTCATTATAAAATATTTAATAAACAAAATTCTTTATTTTTACCTAAAATGAATAAGATGTTGCTGAAAAGTCTGACTGACTTACACAAACTACTACATCTTTTTTGTGACATTTTCAGACTTCTGATAATAAAAATAGCAGCCTTATATATGTGTGTATATGCGTGTGTATGTGTGTGTGTGTGTGTGTGTGTGTGTGTGTGT